TGAGATGAGATTGTGCTTGTTCTAATTTTTTTTTTTTAATATAAAGCTCGAGCCTAACTTATTTTTTTTTAGACTTGACTAAACATTTTTAAATATTTAACCTGTCTGCAAAATCTAGAAGTATTTAAATAAGTCAAAAACCTATGTCTAAATAGATCAAATAAATTTATATCATGAATATATATATTATAAATATTAAAATAGACCAACGACCTTTTCTGAAACTTGGTTTTTTTTTTAAGCTTTTCAGTAAATAAAAGTTTAGATTAGAAGAGGACATATCCCTGACAAGGTCAGAAGAAATAATCAACTTCAATACAAGTTTATAACGTAATTATATATTGCCAATAAAAAATGAAATAGAAATCGAACTTAAACCAAAGTTAGAATTGGTGCTTGACTTATTTAATTAGGCCAGACCAATGGACATCTTAACATATTTTCACCCTAACCATAATTTAAAATTCATTTATTCCATAATGTTATTTATATATTATATTTATACATTATTTTTAATTATTGATAAACTAATAAAATATATTTCAAAATATTTGTTTACTTTTATTTTTTAAAATTAAAAAATAAATAAAATTAGCATTAAGGTTTGCGGATGATGGATATATTATTCGCACCACTTTCTCCTATTTTACATATTAGCATCAATGCACCATCCTTCTCATTTGAAATTCTGACATCACCCTATTCAATATAGTCAAACGCCAGCAATAATATAGTCAAATTAAAAAAATAATAAAAATATTATTATCAATAATTAGGACCCGTTTGGTTTTTTGTTAAAATTTATAATATATAAATAATTTTACTCAAAAAAAAAAAACTCAAATAAATTTTTTACAATCTTTTTAAAAAAAAAAATTAAAATTAAAACTTCTTAAAAATTTGTTAAAAAATATCATAATGATATCTTTTAAAAGGGGAAGGATCTCAAATCTTAGTCGTTAATTTCTATCAATCTGACGGTTATAATTTATTGGATCAAACTTATTAATTAATCGGTTATTTCAATTAACGAAAATCAACAATTAAGATTTGGTTTCAAAGTTTCTATCCCTTCTTTAATCTCTTTATCTAAATGCATACTTATTAAGCAATGATTTTACTTTTTAAATTTTTTAAAATAAAGTATGATAATTAAATGAATAATTAATGAAATTAGTTTACCTTTTAATTTTAACATATATATATATATATATATATATATATATATATATATATATATATATAGTACAATTTTAATATATTAACGGGGTGCTCTTCAGGTTTGACCTTGTGGGTATCATGCGGTGACCACGAGTGCTGCTTTCACACACAAGAAAAGAAATACTTTTGGTCCTCTCGATCTTCCACATTACATTTGATCCACGCAGCCACGTCACATATTCCCATTGATTTCAGAATCCGCTCATCCAATACCACAGCAAGCTTGCCGTAGAAGAAAATCGCAGCAAACCCAACTTCAAAGTGGAACATTAAACCACGTCCTCACCCTTGTCGTCTAAGGTATATATCCCATCCCTCGTATATCTTTCTTTTTTTTTTACGCACCTCTCCGCTCCATTACCAGTCTCTACACCTTCTCATTTAAAAGCTACCTGCATTAATTACAAATTTTTAATCCACGATACAGTTTTTCAAACAAGTTGTTTCATTATATATATATATTTTTAAGTACTTTCAATTTATAACTTTTGATGTTATCAACGAGCCAAGTATATATACGTATATATATTCTTAATCAAAGCTGTTGAATTCGATAATCACCCTAGTCCCTGGGCTAAAATTAAGAAATTAATGCGTAGTATGATATTTTCTTCAATTAAAGACGCAAAGCCACATAACAAACATTAATCATGTTCTCAATCACCCGTTCGTTCATGTTCACCAAAAGTCTTATATGTTTATCTTCATCTTCACTGTAGGGAGACAAACGGGTTTTGCTTCAAAATAGCTGCTATTGATCAGTTTTCTTTATCACTGGAGGATTATTATTTAAGGAGAACAAAATTTGGGCATTTTCTCCGTTCGATCGAATGATGTTATTATAAATAAGCCAAACACGATCCTTGAAACGGGAACATAATATTGCATGTTCATTTGTGTATTATATAGCAAGTTGCTAACTCCATTGTTCAAACGAGATATTCAATTATTATAATATTTTAAAGACAAGTTGTGTTGAATGAAACAATCAAGAATCGTATTACATTGGTGCAGGTTATATTTACAAACTTTTTTGTTTACAAACTACATTAAGTATGACCGGTCATACTTTAATCATGCAGTGTATAACCGGTCATACTTAGTGTAATTTTCAAAAAAAAATTGTAAACTGATCCTATCCCTATTATATGTAGTAATAAAATAGATTATTAGGAGCAAAGACACTAAAATGGAAATGCAGATGATGAGTAGGCAAAAGATACATGCTGAAAAATACATAACTAAGAAAAGAAAAGAGATAGAGTGACGTAGAGGCTGAAATCATAAAGTGCAGTTTTATATACAAATTTTGTTGGCGAATTGTAAACAATTTTGGGATACATTACTTTAAAAGCTAGCTCAAAAGGTGAAAGTGTCCAAGGCCTTATAAACTCCACACTAATGGCACATATAACTAATACGAGACTATATATCTCAACACGCCCCCTCACTCAAGAGCCCTTTGGGCTAGAAGCGTAGAAATTGCACATGCCCATTTTTGGTTTACCTTTTTGTGTTTTTTTCTTATTTTAATTCCACTTTTTTTAAAGCGGAAGACGGTGAGGTGAGACTCTGATACTAGGTAAAGAATCTTGTCATAGAATATTTGTTAAATAAGTAGAATAATTAATAAAATATATTAAATTTTTCCTAATAAATATTTAAATGTTTATTGTTAAAAAACACTATTTTTAATTAAATACTTTTATTTATAAAAATAGTATATATATTTATATTGTTAATATTCTTAGGACATCGATTGAATGGAACCTTTTTATTTGAAGGAAGGAATGGGCTTCGAAACGGAGATGCAACCGTTTCCTCACAAATTTTTGGTGCTACCGTTGCATTAAGATTTAGTGCATCTCATCAATGAGAACATTACACATCATAGGAGAGAAAAAAAATTGTCAGAGAAAATAAAACTTTAACTGACATGTAATATTTTTATTAGTGAAATGTACTAAATCTTTATTGCTACAGTAGCACTAAAGATTTGTTCCCTCCTCAAACACCACATGGCAGACACACCATCACATCATATCTACCACCATCAACGGTGCACCTTGGCGTTTGATTTTGAAGGCTCTTTCTACGACTTTTAGATTCATAAATGGTGGGGACCACAGTCCACAAGGTCACTCCCTTTCTTCCTCACAGCCCAACCAATACCATTAGCATTAGCAATACCTTTACCATCCGAGGTGGCGTTACGTCATTGGCTTCCATTCCCAACATGGAGCTCCCTGCGTGAAGGAATGGAAAGGACACGATGACAAGGAAAAGTTGAACTGTCTCGAATGATTATGTCATGGGCGTGCTGCACGACCTTCTTTTATGTGTAATGAGAAAAGTTACGGTAGAGAATAATCATAAATATAAAAAATTAAAAATAATGTAAATGAATTATTATTATTTTGTTATATTTAACAAAAGATGGGAAAATAATTTGTTCTTTTTAAAGGACCTAAATTATATCATTTTATCTCATTATAAATATGTGTACTTTTTCTCTTTTCAAAAATTGTTAATTGGTGTAAAAAATATAATTTTAATATTATAAATATATACTCTCTAAAATATATAATTATAAAGAGATAAAATAAAGAAAAAAACGTTTTCCATAAAAGATATACCGATCGGTATTTTTGCAGCACTGCAATATATTTTGCTAGCACACCACCCTCTGTGCATTCACTCCATGTCAGCACGCCCTCCTTTTTACTACACAACATAATGGGTGGTTAACTTTTAGTTACGTCACGTTTCAATATTACGGTTGCACGTCAAAGTCAATGTGACGTCACCACGACATGTTGGTAAAATTTATTAATACAACGGGTATACCCAATTCGAAATATCTGTTTATTAAAATGGATAATTTTTTTTTATTTTAACCTTTATTTTTTTAATTTCCTTTTTATTATAAAGAACTAATTCTCCAAAAGTTTAAGCAAAATGAAAGTATGGTTTATATGTTTTAACACAACCCCTCACGTGAAATTCATTAAGTATAAAGAATGAATAATATACAGATTCACCTATTCATGTTGCAAAAAAAATTAAGAGAAGAATCGAACTCGTAATTTTACGATTACTGAAAGTTTGATATTATATAAAAATCTAATTTAATTCAAAAACTTTAAGTTATTAAATCAAGTTCCATTAATGATTTTATATGCTTTAACATTCATGTTTCAAAAACTTTTCTGATGTAATAAGAGTGCAGTGTAGCCGTTGTAGTGAAAGTTTGCTCCGCATGTTAGAGCAACACGCCATTTCAATTTTCACCCCCACAAAATATCCAGTATCCCCGAAACGGCCACGATCACCTTATTACGTGACCGCAAATTGCATGCCCCACGCGCCTTCTTCGCTCCCTTTTTCTTTCTCTAGTAATAATTCATTCGTGGTCAAGGTCCTTGACAGAATGTAACAACCACTGCCAATGCGATTGAATCTTCAAAGATCTCGTATCCATCCAGGTATATATGTATCAATTGGAATTGATGTTTCGCGATATATAGTTAAAGTAGAAAGATCTGTCCATGATATATATGTATATATATATATACGCTTCTTGTGAAATATTAGTATTTAAAATTGATGAAAAAAACTAAACAAGAAACAAGTTGGCATTAAATAATTTAGATTTTTTTTTTACCATTGTATGTATAGAGTAAAATGGTAAATAAGAAAGAAGAAGAAAGGTCAAAGGTGGTAAATAATGGTAGAAAGGAATGGCATAAGCGTCCGTGGGGTGGGGTAGGATAGTAGAAGGTGAAATAAAGTAGTTAGTGATGTAAGCAAGCACGATCTGCTGCTCTCATTTATAAAATAAAACTCCTCCAAACTGAGTTGTGTTGTGTTGTGTGTTACCATATCCATATCCTTGAGCTTCTTCAGTCTTCACACACTTGTAGGGGGCGAATATGCAAGGTCTACGCCACTGCTCAAACGACGTCGTCCTCCACCTTCACCTCACTACAACCACTGCCACTATGACAAACCCTTCCCCTTCTTCTTCTTCCTCTTGCTCCTCCTTATCCATGGACCTTGACGAATCCACCGAGACCCGCATCCAACGTCTCATATCGGAGCACCCTGTCATCATCTTCACCCGATCCTCTTGCTGCATGTGCCACGTCATGAAGAAGCTCCTCGCCACCATCGGCGTTCACCCCACTGTCATCGAATTGGACGACCACGAGATCGCCGCCCTCCCCTCTTCCTCCGAGGATAACACTCCTCCCCCAGCCGCCTTCATCGGCGGGACCTGCATCGGCGGCTTGGAGTCCCTCGTCGCCCTCCACGTCAGCGGCCACCTCATCCCCAAGCTCGTTGAAGTCGGTGCTCTATGGGTATGATATGATTAATTCATGAGGTACAGCTATATATAGCTATTTCTACGCTATCAATTATAATTATAACTATCATTATTATTTCCAGATAACTAATTGTATAATTAGGGTTCTCTTTCTCTCTGAAATGAAATCTAAATCTGTCTTTTGGTGTTGTAATTGAAATTAGCATAACAGAATTTAGAATCTATTTTTCGTTGTGGTTTCTCTCTTTTGCTTGGCGAGTGAGTACTAGTGAGTCATTAACGAGTCACCGGTGAAATTATGATGACTTCGCGTGAATGATACTCGGAGGCAACACGTGTATAGGAACTGCATCTATATCAGTGGATTGGCCACGGCTTCAACGATTTAGACTCAGGTCCTTAAATTGGGTCCCATTGGCAATTATTAAGCAATCAAGGCTAGTGTAACTTTGTCAGTATGCTTCGGGAATCTCTAAGCTTATCTATTTCTCTTCCCTCTTGTGTAAATTTCTTTCTTTCTTTCTATTATAATTTTCGTCTTGTTTTTGTTTGATTTAAGAGTGGCAATCTGCCGTTGGTATTTAGCTATAGCTTCGATTGGGTGGGGAGTGGGACCATTACAAACATCATCATGGCCGTTCAAATGATCAAGGATGATTTCTTATTACTTTTTTGTTGTCCCCACTGGGGTTAAGACGCTAACGAACAAGAGTTTTCAAACTCCCCAAGTAATTTGGAAAAGATGATGAATGAAGGTTGTGATAGAAAAACATATTCACTGAGGCTTGCACCTCCAATAATTGCCAAATAAACCAACAATATGCTATGCTGAATTTACACGGCTCTTTTTTCTTTGTCCTTATAATCGAATCCCATGGCTGTGGAATTAATATTAATTACAACTTCACCCCCAGCTCATTATAAGATATAATTGTGCTGTTATTATTATCACCCAGAGTCATTTGCATAAAAGGAGTTGGAATCCTCCTGCCCTGCTTCTTATTATTCTCTTTTTCTCTTATTCTTTTTTATCTTTTTTGACTGCATCAGTATAAATTGCCTTTTTAAAAAATATATATATATATATATATATATATAATAATTTTCTTGTTTTGAATGGTAGAATCTTTGATTTTTTCCCCCTTTCACTAAAACCTCACATTAAAAATGACTAAGGGGATCCACAAAATAAAAAAAGGGAATCACCATTTTTTTTTTCGATAACACCAGGGGAAAAATTATCGTTTCCTTGGTTTTGTTTGATCAATTCGCTGAAACAAAAAGTATGTATTAGACTCATTAATTATTATTGAATCTAGTATTCACGAAAGTTAAAAAGCTAAAACGGGGGCAAGGACAATCGCATGAAATTGTTGACATCATGCCAACTGCCAAGAGACAACTTTGATGAGACGGTGCGTGATGGCATCCATAAACCTAAGCTTCTGTCTCAAACTTTCTGGTTTCAAGTGTAAACAACTATGATCTGCATGGATCAAACCAAACCGAATGGTTTAAATGGTTCGGTTGGAAGGTGGTTCAGTTTAGTTCAAAACTGGTTCGTTTCGGAAGTGGTTTAGTTCGGTTCGGAATCGGTTCGGGTCGACCCTCCTTTGAAAAGAAAAAAAATTAAAAAAATTAAAAAATAAAGTTATAAAAATCAATTTGATTCGGTTTGAAAACGGTTCGATTCGGTTCATAAACGGTTTGGTTCGGTTCGGTTTAAAATGATTCGGTTCTTAAATTGGTTCTAAAAACCGGTTCGGTTCATGAAGTGATTTTTTAAAAAATCGGTTCGGTTTATGAACTGATTTTTAAAATCCGGTTCGATTCATGAACTGATATTTAAAAATCGATTATTTTAAAGACGGTTCGGTTCAATTCATGGTTCGGTGATCGATTCATGGTTCGATTCAGTTTTTTTTATTATTTTACACGTGTTAACAACATGACTTTCCTCAGCATTTAGCGGTGTGTTTTCTTCTCTCTTTTTTCACATTATATAAACAAATAGCAGTTTGGTGCTGATTTATTGATTGATAAGCAGGGCATGCCAGAGGAAAAAGTACTGCAAAAACGAATAGTTTACTAAATTTTAGCTAAAATGTGGGGAAACTTTTTTTAAAAAAAAATCATACATAGCGTAGCATACCACAGCATCATATTGGTTTGCTATCAAAGAGGCTGCGAATTTAGTGAAACAAACAAAGCATGGAAGGATCTTTTCCCAATTAAGGAAAACGAGGGAGGCGTAGGGGTGATAATCAAGGGTAAGAGTCTTTAAACCTAACCCCACTTTCCAGTTTCCACCATGTGACCCACTTATTTCTCCTTTGAGTTGGGAAAAGACAGGTGATGACGTCAACCACTACAACTATAACTAAGTGACAATCCGAGAGTGAGAGAGAGTGCGTATTTCACTTTCCAAATTTTAAGCTTTCTTTAATGCAAAATCAGACGTGGCAAGCATGCCATGGCTTTGATTTAAAACTTCGGTGGATCTAATTTAGAATCTTTCAGCCTCACGTAAGCCTAATGATTCTATTTCCAAACAGAAGTATGGACAAGCCACATTCAGCACATAATTTAAGCTTTTAAAGTGCAATTGTGTTTTAAAAAAATGCATAAATAAACAAAATTAGGCAGCCATAATAAATGGCAAAGTCAAAATCAAATGCTCCATAATGCTTGGGCTTTAGGTATTGCACTCTCCTCTCGGAACATAGTCCAAAATCAAAAGTCTCTCTAATTAATAACGTAATATCAGTACCCTTCTCTCAAAGATTAAAAGGTGTGATATACATTTTAACTTTATTCATATATACTCTTTATGGAGTTCCCACCTCTCCTCTTTTACTTTTTTCATCTCATTTGTTGATATTAAATAAGAGAAAAGTATCTATTCTTTTAAATACTCAAACTTAAATTCTTCTAAGCAGTATTATTAAACCCGACTCGAGCATTGATCCGATCGGGTACTGGGTCACTGGGTTATTGGTCGGACCGATGACTCACTGGTCGGACCGGTTGACCCGGATATATATAAATATATAAAATATATATAAATATGAACATGTAAATTCAATTATATTCTCCATATTTAAAATAAATTAAACAAAGTTCACTAAATTTGCTCAAAAACATGAATCATAAATAAATAAAAATCCACGCTATTATTATGTCAATTTAAATTGCAACTCAGAATCTCTATAATATACTTCTCAATAAACATTGAACTCATATTTTTCAATTCAACTACAGTAAAATGACATATGTCACATTCTCTTAATTTATTATTCAGCAAATTACATCAGTATTGGAAGCTGAAATTTGAGGTCATTGTAGAAGAGTATACTAGCAAATAAAATTATAAAAAGTTTTTAAAATGAGTTCTACATTTTTTTCTGACAAGATGAAACAATTTTATTTTATTTTTATTTTTTTAAAATGCATGACCCGACCGAGTCACCGGGTCACCGGGTTTGGCCGGGTCAATACATAACCGGTCAAATGCTTGACCCGAACTGGTCTGATGATCGGTTCACCGGGTCCCGGGTCGGGCCGAGTTTTACAACACTGCTTCTAAGAGAGATAGATATAAAGAAATATGACTTATATCTCTTTGTGTTTATCTCTCTCTTAAAAAGATATAAGTTTGTGTTGTTTAAAAAGACACATATTTTTTCCATTAAATAATCAATTGATCACAAGGACAAACTTTCTTGTTAATTTTAATATACATTCCATTCATTATTACTTTGTCTGAATTAGTATTTTTTTTAAAAATGAAAAATAAAAATAAGCTTATATAAAAAATTGTATAAAATATGACAAAACCTAAATATTTTTTTTATGGAACATTTGATAGAGTAAAAATTTTAAAAGGGCACATTTTTCCCATTAAATAATTTATTGAACACACGACGAACTTTTTTGTTAATTTTAATATACATTCCATTCCTTATTACTTTGACTGAATTAGTATCCTTTTTAAAAAATGAAAAAATAAAAAATAAAAATAAGCTTAAATAAAAAATTGTATAAAATATGACAAAACCTAAATAATTTTTTAGGACGCATTTGATAGAGTATAATTCTTTTTCCTAGTGGAAAAGTTAGTTTCCCAATAATATTAATAAAAAATTGTCTAATAGGCTAAAATATTATCGAAGTTATTAGTTCAAGTTTCGTTAATTGTAGAATATTGATGGAAATATGAAATGATTTAACAAAATTATGCTCTATAATTCTCAATCGACCCTCCAGTCTTGTCAACGCCATTTACCGTTCAATTGATGAATCAAAATCCAATCTTAACGATGATCAACAACTGGGTCTCTTCAACAAAAACACCCACGTACAGAGCAATTTGAGCTATAACCACAATCATGGTGCCTGAGTAGAAATTAAAAGTGGGAACAAAGATAGGATGAATATTCGTCGAGCCGTGATGAGTGAAGATTGGGCGGAGAAGCAAAGCTCATAAAGCACACTTAGCTTCATGCTCCTCAAAGTCAAGTTCTGGAGCAGTATTTTCATCCTCAGAAACAGACATAACCCACTGACCAAGAGCAAGACCCAAATCCGAGTGCAATAACAAGAATTATTATGGCGAGTTGCGAGGACAAAGTTGAGCATTGAAGATATATGGCCAGTTGAATCAGAAAATGAAGCAACCCATTTCACCAAGAAATCGCATAGCTAGCTTTCTTAGTTTTATCTTCAACTCTGGGAACATGAAGAAAGCCCAAATGTATTACGTTGGTGCAGTGGAAGATGTAACCTTTGAGCACAAATCCAAGTCCCCATGTTTTTCTTCATCACCATCTTCGTTTTCAAGGAGGTCTTGCATGAGTAAAACGCCATCTTCAGTAAAAGGGAAGAAGCCTAGCAATAATGGAGTCAAAAGGTGTGAGGTTCTACCTAGATTTTGTGACCCATGGCTGTAGTGGAGAGGAGAGAGAATGGAAAGAGGAACGGATGAAAATAGTACAAAGAAAAAGGGCATTTTTGTCCCAACAAATCTGGTGCATTTTTTCATGGGGTGGGATTTCAAGAATAGCTCCCACTTGGTGGTATTTTAGAATAAGATTCTGCTTCATAATTTCAAATTTTTTCGAAAAAAAATTATCAATCGTTATATCAAACGTCAATAAATAAGATTCTCAATATCAGTTTATCGAAAATCTAAAAAAAATTCTTCTACTAAAAGCTGTATTTACAAAAAAAAAATTAGTTATATTTATATATAGGATAATGTCTTCTTCCTTTTACATGACACAAGCTATTTTCCTACACAAACATGAAAGTGGACCCATCAATTCTTTTACTTTTCTTTTATTTTAAAAATAGTGAACCCCACAATTAATTATCTCTATGACATGACCTAAGAATTTTCCTACAACATAATATTAGTTTTTCCCTTATATATAACATGCATGTATATAATTTTTTACACCTTATTTATGAAAACGTTAACAAAGAGAACAAGGTGGTAAAAAAAATATATAGTACCACGAGCACTTAAAAAACTTCATGCAAGTCTTGTTACACTTGAGTAACATGTAAGGTAACACCACTACTTATGAATTATTGAAAATATACCCAAATCTCAAAAGAAAAGAGGAGCCACAAAAGGAAAACGCTTTTCTATGGAGGTATCCCCTCTCATCATATCTTATTTCTGATCTTACACCGTCTAAAAAATTGCAAAGCAAAATTAGTATAGTGGAGCCAGAAAAGCAACGTTGGCATTAGCATTGGAATGCCATTAAAGACACATTTACAAATGAACAGTAATGGAGCTCATTTGTAGTTTACAAAATTATCCTAAGCCTCAAAAACTATAACAGGTTGATGTAATGAAGTTAAGTACAAGATGTAAAAATGAAATGAATGATCGTAGGTAAGTTGATGCTGTTACAATGGCCCCCAGTTCATGAATTTCTTAACCTCGTCATACAATACTAAGATAGCTGCAGCACCAGTGCTCCTAAACACATTTGACACAGCCCCACGGTAAAATGAAGCCAACCCTTCTGTCCTATAGATCTTCTTCCAGCAGTCCAGGGTGTTATTGTACACTGGCTTTTCCATGCCAGACTGCATCATCATCCTCCTACGAACCGTGTCTAATGGATAAGATATCAACCCAGCAGAGGTTGTGACTGCCTGAGCTACCACCCAACGCTTCCACAATGCCAACTCAGTTTTTGATTCTTCAGACAAGATCTCTTTCATTGTGTCAAAGCCTCCAAAATAAAGGCCCCTGTGTACCACCATCCCTTGTAGAGATGCAGGAAGGCCCCTGTAAATGCCCCGAATCCCATCCTTACGGAATATGGTAGCCAAGAAATGGTAAATGCCTCGAAATTGACGCACTTCTGTCCTTCCAATGTCAGCGGCAAGGCGTGTATGTGCAATGTCAAGGGGATATACCAAAACAAGTGTTGTACAACCGGCCGCAGCCCCAGCAACAAAATTAGCTGATGCACCAGAGAAAAGATTATTATCATAAAAGTTTCCACCTCTTAACATGCTTTTGTAAAGATCCTGTTGACAAAATAAAAGACGATCTATCAAGACTCTGGATTAACTGTAACATTACATATTAAGCTTAATCTTTCTTCAATTATTCGAGTGAATGACAGGAAGAACAACACAGAAATATACATTGTAATATATCAGTTGTGGAAATGAAACTTCTAAAATGTTGCATGTTATATTTCACGGAATGTATAGACAGTGAAGTTGTTCTGCCAGTCATTCACACTTTTACACCTTTGTATGAACCACACATGGTTGAAAAAGCACATAAAGATTAACGGGGAAAAGGAAGGAGGAAATAGCAAAGCAAACAAAAATAAACTTCAAACATTGTGGGAACTCTTCTTTGGAAATTTAATAACTAACCTAGGTTATAGTTTGTAATAGCGGGGTTGGTATTTTTAGAACTTAATTACACTCCAAGTATTCATGTCAACCTTAGGTTAGGACACCAAAAACAAAATTATAAAGCCCACATTTTTAGCTTCACACTAATACTCGGTCATCTTCTGAACCATAAAACCACATCATAGAGATACATTTTTAGCCACATTTCACAAACTTCCGTGCAGAAATTTGTTTTACTTTAGTCACATCTTTACTAATGCATCGTCTTAAACATGAATCAATGCTTAAACCCTCTTCCTTTTGTGATAAAAATACTGCCGTCATTCTAAACCTCTATATTTGCTTTATTTAGGAAGCTAAATCACATTCTTCAACAACAGCAGCAACCTTAACGTGTATTTAGACAGAAAACTTTCAGAAACTTATATGCATTGTAGGGCTCAAAGTTTTAATGTAGGTGACACTATCATGAAAAGTAGTCTTCCCGACCTTCACCCTGCATACCTCTTTAAACAGTTTGATGCTAGAGCTTTAAAGCCTTTTCCAAGTTTTGCTAAATCCGGATCTAATGTAAATTTACTTGATTTGCTTGGTGATATGAATATTAGTCCCGTGTTCAATGTGGAGGATCTAACACCTTTTAGAGACACATCTCAGTCTTCCCCATGTTATCTCCACTTGTTTCTGCAGGTCCAAGAACTTTTCAGGTTCCAAGAGTTCCTGCTGCTGTTTCTCAATTGTCAGATGAGACCGAGGCCATCCTGTATGATGAGTATATCAGCTCTTTCGCTCCTCATTTTCGCCATTATTTCGCAAAGTGAAAAGACTGTTATGCTTCAAATGCTACATGGATAGTTGGTCCCTTTCTTATCCTACCCGTTTGGATCATTATCTGTCTTTTGACTCTCCAGAATAGAGTTATGTTATTTAATTTTGGGCTTTTAATTCTGCAATGATGTAGAATAAATTAGGATTATTGTGTTATTTTTAATCTATAGATTTGATAGTAATTCTGTTGTATAAGATATTGATATCTTTCCTTATTTTTAGGGATTTTATCTTTAATAAGATATCTAATTTAAGAAAATTTATATTTTATTAAGATTATGCATCTAATTAAGATTTATCTAGGATTTTTATCATCTTTGGATTATAAATACCCTTTAGGTGCCTTAAATAACTTAACATAATTGATAATTGATATTTCTTTTATTCAGAGAGTATCTGAATCTTGAGTCGAAGGAGCATTCTAGGTTTATCAGGTCAGGAGGGTACCCTGCCAAGAGAAGTATTCCTGGATTGTCCTACATCAATCTATGTTGCATTACAAGTTCAGAAATACTGAACTGAAGCTACACAAGTCCTTGCATTTTAGTGTCTAGATTATTTTATGGAGAAATATTTATTATATCTGTTATAATATAATTTAAAAATATTGATACAATCATGTAGTATAGGGTTTCAATATTTTTGCACATGCACCCGTACCCACACCATGCATTTGTTAAGAGATCTTACTCCCATCGAAGACTGAAAAGAGGTTTCCAATAAACTCATGAAAAAGAAAAGAAAAATCCTCATAAGAAATTCGGGTCAGTGAGTAATCTCTGTCTCGATGCTGAAAAGGAAGCTGGTCATGCAGAAACATGTATTGGATATCAGACAATTCAAGAAAAAGGCAACAAAGTAATATCTAGTAAAGTTCAAAGGAAGAGGTGTATTCATTAAAACTGGACAGTCCTTGATAGCATCTAAAAGACAGGGAAGGTAGAAAAAGATATCTTATAAAAATAAATAAAAAAATCAATAGAGTACACCATAAATGAGGTGCAGCGCATATCAAGATTTCACTATACTTTTTACTCTCTTCTTTACGGGGTAAGGTCAGATTTCTGCACAGATACTGTAGTAGCTAGAAAATAAAAAATGGAATTACAAGAACAAAAACGAAGAAAAAGGAAGTCCCCTTCTCATATTTAATGGATGAAAGGTGTGGATGCTAGCGCTTTTTACAGTTATGTAAACAGGTATTTGTCAAAATCCATCTTATCTTGTAAATTATACAAGGAGAGTACTGCAGCCAGGAAAATATTTGCCAATCAGAATCTGCAGATTTGAGGGATTTTGGTCCGGATATAAGTACCAAGGGTTAGGAGTAATAAGGGATGAGGAACACTGGCAGGCTAGGATAGTATATGGGTGACACAAACAACAAAAATAAAGGAATAGTAAGAGTTAGGTATAGTGAACTTGATGGATGAGAGAAATCTATTAAAGAGAGAGAACATCAAAAATTATAATGTGTTAAAGGACAAAGAATGAGTTTCCTTCAATGAGAACAAGTATGCTTATTTATTGTTATGGAGGTAAATTTCATTTTCACAAGCATCATAGGTTAGCCTTGCTCTATATGATTTTGACATCTCTGCTTTTGATTAAATTTTGATGTTCAAAATAGGACAAATGTGAAAAATGTAACACCCTCCACCCTCCTTCCTCTCCCAAAAAGGAAAAAAAATGGATGCGTGAATTGGTAGTGCAGAGTCTGCAGACAATGTAAACATATCTTGCACATCAGTTTAAAGGCTAAGGGTAACAAACTTTTATATTTTTAGATATTTTTTCAGACCTGTTGACGATAGTAACGATACATTTAAATTTTCCCCTATACTGCTGTAAATTGTAGATTGTAAATTTAGTAGATAAGGATTCAAAAAACAAAGTCCTTCTATTTCATCTGTAATTGTGAATTTAATATTGAATGAGCAATGATATTAAATCAGGAAAAAGAATAAAGAGTTCAAATAATGGCTCGAAAATTTGACACAAAATAATATCAGAAGTTGTATGGATTCACAAAAACATATTTCTATTATCGTTACATGGCTACTCTTGAGATACTAGCTACAACCCACCAGTTTTGCACATTGCCTCCATCCCAGTTTTTCATAAGATGACAAAACCCAATGGAACCAAATAATGGTGTTTGAACACACAACTCTCTCCATCCCTCTTCTCAAGTCATGACAGTAAAAATTCAAGACATCAGGAAACTAATTGGATTCCATTATTATTATATGGCTACTTTTGAGAGATACAAACTGCTAGTTAATACTCAATATTATACACAACCAACCAGCTCTGCACATTGCCTCTATCCCAGTTTTTCATAAGATGACAAACGCAAATGGATCGAAACAATGGTGTTTGAATACACAATTGATAGATCAAACACCCTTTGTACCTCTTCTTCAAGTCAGGGTAGTATCTTATTATCGTAATTAACTAAATGACATCCTCGATTCAACATCTCACGCCAGAAGTGAATCAGTGATGTGGGAACTAACATGCAAGACCATACAAATTGACACCACAATGAAAGGGCGGGAAGAAAGACAATCATGGAACATGAGTTCCAATGCATAACTTGCACTACTAGGGCTTTTCCATTTCTTCCAAACATATTCAATAACAGGGCATTTACAAGAGGACATCACCCCGGGTTCTTCATTTTGTTTCCGAACATAACATAAATGTTTAAACTAGTCTCTTAGACAACCAAAAAAGTAATAATAAAACACAGAAGGTAAAATACTTGGACAAGTGCAATTTTCTTCAGACTCTGAGATGATATCTGACAACAAATACTCCAAGGACCATTCGACACAAAAGCAGTCACAGAGCCACAACAGAATAGGATAGACTATAGTAATAAAAGGCTGACAACTCCTCCAAATTTTGCTCCAATTTCAATAATACCAGTTCAACTCAGAGATGGTAACATGAACAAATTCACTAATGTCTTGCCTCAACTAATGGGGGAATTTAATGCATAATAATTAATGATATGGTAACAAAATAGAGGCAAAGAAAAGAAATCCAAAGACAGAATATAAATAATATGATGAAGGAAGCAAGCGAAGGTTATGATGAATATAATACAGTATATTACGATACAACATAAGGCAAGAGTAGTAAAGAGGAATTAAGAGCAAACCTTGAGAGAGAAATTGAGTGCGACGGAAGGATAATAGCGAAGAACACTGCTGCCATTGCCACGCCACAAAGAGAGAACGCCTTCTTCCCTGACAGTACGGAGTATGCAATCAAACATGCCCTTAAATTTGCGACGCCCACTTGCAACAATAGCCAAATTGCTTTCCTGGGTTTGCAACAAAAGCTTGGCCCTCTCAATTGGGGCCACAATGGTGTGCACCGCCCCTCCCATCACCGCCCCAGCCATGAGATCGCGTTGGAAGTTTGTCACCCGAGAATTGGGCTTCAAATTCAACCTCTTTCTTTCTGGGTCATCATCCTCACCGCTCATCCTTATCCTTCGATTCACTGCTACCTCCGTTGTTAAGTTACGCCTCTTTTCTTTTCTCAAATTCACAAACTTTGCTCAAAGGGGAACACACCCATCATTCTTTTTTTCTTTCTTAAATAAAACAAAACCCAACCCAACCCAAACAGTGTAATTTCAGCGAGATTGAAACTTGAAAGCAAGCTTATCCCTTCATATAAATCCAGAAAATCATATTGCACAAGTTATTGTCAACATTTAAAAGCGCGGCGACGATTTTCTCACTGTGTACAAAAAGAAAAATAAAGGAAAAACACGGAATCGCTTGTTTTCCAAACGTAGTACCATATGGTTGATCAAGGAGCAATTTCGTTGGTTATTCCATTTGACTTTCCTTGTCGGGGCTGCCATTGATATTTGATAAAGATAGTTTTGTTGTGTACTCTCTCTCTCTCTCTCTCTGTGTCTCTGTCTCTGGTGTATCCACGTGTATCAATCATCTAATATCTTAAAAAGCTTGGAAAACGGAGAAAGAATTCAATCCAAAAATTTTCCACCATTGGTAGCTAAACTAATAAATGTTGTAATAATCACTCATATTAATCATCTACTTTCTAACTTTCTCTATATATTTTTACCACTAATTTCTTTTCTTCTCTTTCATGTTCCAATCCAATGTTCTGCACCGAGGCTTTTAATTCTAGGAATATATAGACATTTGCTTGTTAAAACGTAGAGGTGAAGAATGTTTTTTTTTTTTTTTCTGAATGATGAATTATTAACTGTGAGTTTAATAAACAGTAAACGGAATCATTCCATGGAAAAAAGATGATAAACTAAATAATGAATTAAATTATGGGGAAAAAATAATTCTACTTCGCTCCTTATTTCATGCGGAACAAAATATCAAAATGTAGACCATTAATATAAAAAATTAAGTAAAGGATGTATTGGATTAGGATTTTTTTTAAAAAAAATTGAAATAATTTTTTTAATATATTTTAAAAGACTATTTAGAATTGGAGAGACTTTAAAAAAAAATTAAAATAATTTTTTTTACAATTAAAATTTCATAATATTGAATTTTAAATGATTTTAATAGAATTTATAAAATTTTAAAAAATTATATGAATTTTTAACAAAAATACAAGAGTCAATAAAAAAAGAAATGCAATGATATTAATAAAAAAATAAAATCTAATATAATTTTCTAAATTTAGTGTAATTTAAAAACAAGTTAATTCAAATAAGTAAAGCAAACCAACGTTTAAATAGTTCAATCAACAAGCTTACCAAAAAAAAAAATTAGTTCAATCAACAAACAATAAAAAAAATTGAATAAGCTAATGATTATGTACGAAAAGAAGAAGAAGCATGTGCTCACGAGGGAATTTTATTCTATGTTCGGTTTTTTTTTTTCTTCTCCCTCTCTCTCCTCTTTCTTTCTCTATTTTTTTCTATCTTAGAGGACCAATGGGCCGGGTCGATCACGAGAGCATATATATTTTTGTCTCCAGAAATCGGATACATATACAAATTACAAACGATGCTCAATAAATATGTATGTGCTCTTGTGTGTGTATATATATATATGATAAAGCTTGCCACCAAATTATTAGAATTTTTAATATGTATCATTGCTGCACACAAAGAATATTAGGATTTTATACTCATTATAATCTAAACAATGGGTAAAGGATTTCTCCGGTCAATGGAAATAAGTTATCTCCAGTGAGCCCAAAACGACGTCGTTTTGGGACGGAAATCAATGTGTTTTTGTAATTATAATGTATTGCAGGATTATTTTAATCTTTATCATTATAATTGTTTAATCTTATAACCCAAAACGACGTCGTTTTGAACTCACTAGAGATAATTTTATCTCCGATGACTGGAGAAATACTTTTCCCCTAAACATTATACAAAAGAAAAAGGTCGACGAAGAATGTATATGGTAAGCTTATTAGTTCAATTTCAAATTGAAGACGTGAGCACATACATGTTTATTGTCGACTCTATACAACTCTGTTAAAAAATAATAACGAAGCACATCATTAATCACGAAGGAAGAATACCAAAACCCGATAAATACAGACGATAAACACAACCATTAATCATGAAAGAGGAATATCAAAACCTGAGAACATATATGTGAGTCAAAAGAGAATATAACTTGTCTTTGAAAAAAGGCTAGAGTAGATTGTGAGACACGGCAATAAAGAAATCTCAAGAAATCCTAGGGGTTAGGGTGAGATTGTGAGAGAGACGTCCTATTTATATTTCTCACTAAAAAGTCTCACGAAATCCATACCAATAGAAAATTCATTAAAATTGTCAGATTTTTGAATACCACAAAATTATTTTTTCTTTATTTAAAATTCTTATTAAACTCCAATAGATTTGGACGGACTCTAAAATAATCTTTTAAAACCTTAATCAAATACCACATGACTTTTTTTTTCAATCCTTTAAAATCTTAATTGAATATCAATGCTTTTTTTTTACAAAATTAATCTATTAAAATCTTTTGAAATCTCAGTCCAATACAGCTCTCTAAATTTCAATTAAAATTTAAAGGTAACATAATCACATTTTCATTTACTGATAAAATAAGAAATATTTGAATTAATTTAAAACTTGCAAGGGTAATTGACTTATTGTATTCATTTCAGATAAATAATACATGTTTATTACTTAAATGAAATCCAATCATTTAAATATGAAATTTGGATTTAATAGAAAATTTTAAAGATGAAGTAATATATTAAAAAATAGGTTTAATCAATTGATGACACAATGATGTTACGGAAGCATAAATATGAAAGAAAAATAAATACATATATGAATCACATGTGACATTAGCTCTACTTGCATATATTCTGTCTAGTTAACAAAGGGCATTAGGCCCTTTAACATAATTAACTCTTTTCTATTACTCAGATGTCAAAGAACTTGAACATAATTAACATAATTATGCCCCACGATGCAACTGCTGTTCATAATTTCTTAATCCTGTTCAGCTACAGGCCATAACTTATAGCTTTGTTATGGCCAATCTCCGCTTTCTTCATGCACCAAGCATTCAGTTTCGAGATCACTACACTTCGGGTCCCATTGTTAAACACAAATAGATGGGCGTCTTTGCCAACAGCTAACGAGGGATAAACTCTGCTGGTGATACAAACTCTCCCTCCCTCCCCAAAACTCTCAATAATGGAGTGGTCAATCTGCACAATAAGAACCAATATATTTCAAACTAGCAAACACATGATGAGAGAAGGATGAGAAAGTTAACCATATATAATGTATCAGCATATATACCAAGCTTCTGAGTGAAATCCTTTTGATGTTGGGATCAAAGTCAAAGAAAGTTCCATATGTCGTTTTATCAAGGTCCTTCCGCAATGAAGACCTGTGAAGTGTAAACAATTCTCAACCATTACTGAGAGAGATTCAATCTCAATCTAAATATTTGAAGTAGAGAGAATGTTAGAAACAACCTGCTCTGGTCACTGCACATTAGGCCTATATATTTGTTGGGAACTTTATATATTCGAAAGAACACTGCAGTCTGCTCTCTTAGGTCGTCTGAAGCCAAAGCTGATAAACCAAATGGCCCTATTATGCCACTTCTTGATGCATACTCTTCACTACAGAGTAGTTGGGGATCAACCTCAGTAGCATCTAATGACTCGGCACTTTCTACTTCGGTTAGCTCAAACACTACTTCTACATCAGCCTAAGTAAGATACATGCAAGTTAAATATAATCACCACTAATGTTGTACTTACTCTTAAAATTTATCAAGAAAATTCGGGAAAGCACACACACCATCAGTTTACTTACCTGTGAAGCAGTGATACCTGAAACTTCAAGAATTGATCCACTCACAAGTTTCTCTCCGTTAATACTTTTTTTCTTGCCACGCAGTTTTTCTACTTCTTCAATTGGCCACTGTATCAATCGCTTTCCAGTTTTATTATCAAGCCAAACTTGTCTCGGAATGGCCTGTATAATCAAACAACATTACCATTCATCAATATATGATCCTCCACATTTTAATAATTAGACTTTAGGATAATGAATATAACCTTAGAAACAATTTTAAACAATTTCATTTAATCAGGACTGCCAAGAAGAAAATGCCAATTGTGGAACTAAGATACCTGTAAACCAGCCCATCCTTTCATAATATCATCTTGTGCAGTGTCAGATTCGTTTACCCAGCCCCACAATATCCTCCTGTTCTTGGCATAGTCAAAAAATGTCTTGGAAGCATAAAATTTACCATAGTCGTACCTTAAGTCCAAACTAGTTCCAATAAATTCAGTATCAGCAATAAATTTTTCCTGATCAGGGAAATATGTACCCAGAAAATAGTAGTCATGCTGTCTTCTTAAGTACCCTATCTTCATGACATGTCTAACACTTGAATTTTGGACAGATGTATCGACCCCAGTTGTGCCATTGGTGGACACAGGAAAGAAATCTGGGCATTCGCATACCCCAGTACCATCTGATGCATAAAATGGATTAGGATCTACCTTCCAATTAACAAAATCCTCACTTCGGTAAAGAATCGCTTTCCCTTCATCACCCTTTTGAGCACAAATGAGTACCCTCCATTTTCCATCCCTTCCCTGCCAAGCAGTTGATGGGTCTCTGAAATTGTCCACTTCAACTCCACTAGGTGGAGTTATAATGGCGTTTTGAGTGTGTTTGACCCATTCCCTTAAGAAAGGATCTGATAGATTCTTTGGCATAGCCAAGTTCTGAACTTGATAATTGTTTTTAGCAATCCCAGTATACATGATAACAGGCTTATCATCTGGAAGGATTGTGGCCGAGCCAGACCAGCAGCTATTAATGTCATATGGCTCACTTGGTTCAATAGCTATGTTCAGATGAATCCAATTGATGAGATCATAGGATACAGAGTGAGCCCATACTATACTATCGCCAAAGGTCGCTGCATAAGGGTTATGTTGGTAAAAAAGATGGTAAACTCCTTTGTAGTACATTGGTCCTGTTATAGGTAAAATCAACATTAGCCATCAGATCATAATTTTGCTTCTTTTCAATGAATTAAGGGAAACAAATAACTAATAAGATAAATTTTGCGGGCTTACCATTTGGATCTGCATAATGAAGATATCCGTGTTCAAATTTTCTTCAACAAAACGGGTCAAATGATAGAGAAAATAATTAGTTAGTCATAATCGATGAAATAGAACATAAGGAACAGAGATACTTGAAGAAGTTTGAGAGTTTTAGTGATGAAAGCATGTTGACAGAGTAATACCGTTCATCCAATTATGTGGGGGCTGAAAGTGATAAGAAGTTCGATAAGGCTGTTTTTCAGGTATCTTGTACTTTATAGAATTCATGATGTGTGGCGATGGTTCGATTCCAATTCCAGTGTTTGTCAGAGAAGTTAATAACACCAGTAATAGTAGTGCTGCAGATATCTCCATGATGCCGTTCCTCATTTGTTTTCTAAGCAAGCCAATACAGAACTAGAATCCCGTACAAAAAAGAAACAATTCTCAGCTTTCCCTTTCTTTAACTTTTTTTCTTTAACTTTATTTAGGCTGCAGTTGATCCATATTGAGATATAGTACACGTATAAAAACCCAATACAACACAATTCAATTGGGTCATTTAACAATTTTTTTTTTGTTAGTTGTTTGATAATTAAGGTAGAAGACTTAAAATTTTGTGATATTCGTGGATAGAACAACACAAATACAAAATTTATTATAACATTATCTGTGTTGTATATTATTTTACCCATAAATAAATTGAGATAATTATAGGTTAAATGAGTCAACCCACGTATTGAATCCATTTTGCCGCTTCTATGTGAAAGTGAGGTGTGAAAAAAAGTCACACCATAATTGCTCTATCAAACTGGTAAGTACGTGGTTTAAAATAAAAAATGAAGCCACTAACTAAACTTTGGAGGATGAGTAATACAGTGTAGAGAAAGACTTTAATAAAGTTTACCTGCAACTAATCCAGTAACTGGGGAGAAAAAGTAGAAAGAATATAATTAAATCAACTGTATGATAAGATTTGTAGAGATAAAGACAAATTTCCCAAAAATACGAATTATGACGGTACATTTGAAAACTATGTTCCTCACGACTCACGAGACATGGTCGATCTCATGTATTGTTGTTCTTTTGGAAGATGATACGGACCCACAACCTGAGGATACAATGGGCCCAGAAGAAGAGTATCAGCTGGACTCACAGATTACACCCAAGGCCAGATGGGCCAAACGACACAAGAGCCAGCCCAAATGGATGAGTGATTATCATCTGGGTTAGCTTGACAGTATGCTGCACATGATGTGTTGGTTGCGTAATTTTAGGGAGCTGTTAGAAGAGGGAACGTGATTTCCATTCTGTTGTGCATTCTGTTAGCTGTAAGTGCTGAGGCACCGTTTGTTAGTCTACATTCTTGCATTTCCTTTTATGTATATAAGCCGGTTGGCTTCTCATTATCAATCAAGGAATCAACAAGTTATTTTCTTCTTCATTTACTGTTTTTCAAAGGAGGTTACCCACCCTCGAAGTGGGATCTTATTATCTGGTGCTTTCATTGAGAGCTCCTATCATTCCATGGCCGGACCGACTTCTTCTAATGAAAACATGGAGATCACACTCTCCCGTCTGCTTGACGCTCATCTCACATTACAAACAGATATTCAGAACATGGCACACCGAATGGCAGCTTTGGAAAGTAGACCCCTTCCTTTGGGTCCTCCTCACATGATCCCAGAACACGCCAACACAGGACCTGGAATTCGTACTACCATGAAACTGGATGTGCCAAGATTCGACGGCTCAGATCCTTTAGGTTGGTCCTTCAAAATATCTCAGTTTTTCGAGTTTCACCGTACACCAGAAGATCAACGTTTGCGAATAGCTTCTTTCTATATGGAGGGAGAGGCCTTAGGATGGTTTCAATGGATGCATTCCAATGGCCAGCTCAATAGTTGGGCTCAGTTCCTTCAAGCCTTAGACCTCCGTTTTGCCCCTTCCCAGTATGAAGATCCCAGGGGAGCGCTGTTCAAACTCTATCAAGCCACCACAGTTCGCGACTACCAGACGCAATTTGAAACGCTAGCTAACCGAATCGTGGGTCTCCCACCCCCTTTTCTTTTGAGCTGTTTTGTTTCAGGTCTTCGAGCAGACATCCGCCGTGAAGTACAAGCTCTGCAGCCTACTTCCCTCACACAAGCCATCGGGCTCGCTCGTCTCCAAGAAGAGAAGGTTAATGACACAAAAAAAACTCCCAAACCGGTTCCTCCGGTGGTCCCACTTTCCGATCTCCTCCGTCTCTGTCGGTTCCAAACACCAAGGCAGATCTGGCACTAAAGGGACGACCCATGATGAAACGATTATCCCCGGAAGAAGCGGCCGCCAGACGTGAAAAGGGGCTCTGCTACAACTGTGATGAGAAATATCGCCCAGGGCATAAGTGCAAGAGATTGTTCATGATGTTGATTGCTGACCCAGCATTTGAAGAGGATTATGTACCTGCTGACTTAAGCCTTTCCCTACAGCCGACGGTCCAACCAGATGACGACACACATGAGCAAGAAACCCTAGTGGGCCAAATCAGCTTTAATGCCTTAGTGGGCCAAAGTGCTCCTCGGACCTTGCGGGTAAAGGGCCGAATCGGTAAAACTGAGCTCTCCATCTTGGTGGATAGTGGGAGTACCCACAATTTCATACAAGATAGGATTGCTAAATTTTTGGGCTTGCCTACACAAGAGACCCAAGGGTTTCCAGTAGTAGTTGGAAATGGGGATGAGTTAGAATGCTCTCTACTCTGTAAGACCGTACCACTACACTTTGGGCCGCACCAATTTAACGTGGATCTACTAGTATTGCCTATTAGTGGAACGGACCTGGTCCTTGGGGTCCAGTGGTTAAAAACTTTGGGACCCATCCTAACCGACTATGGGGACCTCACCATGAAGTTTGTGAAGAATGGGGAAATTGTTAAATTAACTGGGGCCTCTTCGGATGGGCTTCAAGAAATCTCCCTGGCCCAGCTGCGAAGGATGTCGTCCACACACTCTATTGTGGAACTTTTTCAATTGGAAGTGTACCCTAGCTCCACTCCACCGACAACTACCCCATCCGCACCTCCATGGCTCCCTGCCTTGCTGGACGAATTTAAACCACTGTTTGCAAACCTGGGCGAGCTCCCACCGCAGCGCGACGTGGATCACAGGATCCCACTGACCGATGTCTCAGCAACGGTTAATGTTCGACCGTATAGGTATCTTTTTTTCCAGAAGCGCGAGATCGAGAAGCAGGTTCAAGAGATGCTCGCTACCGGATTGATTCAAGGCAGCACGAGTTCTTTTTCTTCTCCTGTTCTGTTAGTCCGCAAAAAAGACGGCTCATGGCGTTTTTGCATAGACTATCGGGCACTAAATTCCATCACACGGAAAGATCGCTTCCCGATCCCAACCATCGACGAGCTTCTGGACGAATTACATGGAGCTCAGTGTTTTTCCAAGCTCGATCTGCGTTCTGGATACCACCAGATACGCATGCATCCCAACGACGTGTCCAAAACAGCCTTCCGAACTCACGACAGACACTACGAATTTTTGGTGATGCCGTTTGGGTTGTGCAATGCTCCGGCGACGTTCCAGGCAACTATGAATAAGTTGTTTCAACCCTATCTTCGTCAATTTATTATTGTTTTTTTGATGATATTTTAGTTTACAGCAAAACTGAGGCCGAGCATATGAGTCATCTCCGGCAAACTTTTTAGTGTCTGTTGCAGAATAAATTTCTGCTGAAAGGAACCAAGTGTTCGTTTGCACAGGAGTCTATTAATTATTTGGGTCATATCATATCCAAGGATGGCGTGGGACCGGATCCGGAAAAAATTAGAGCCATGGTGGAATGGCCTCTGCCAACGACTCTTAAACAACTAAGAGGTTTTTTGGGTTTGACTGGTTTTTACAGAAAATTCGTTCGAGGTTACTCTGCAATCGCGGCACCTTTGACGGACATGTTGAAGCGTGATGCCTTCGAATGGTCCGAAAAGACACGAATGGCTTTCGAGCAGCTGAAAAGTGTAATGACTCAGGCCCCGGTCCTACACCTTCCTGATTTCAATTCAGAATTTGTGTTAGAAACCGATGCTTCTGGCTTAGGTATGGGAGTCGTACTGTTACAAAGAGGACACCCTGTGTGCTTCTTCAGCAAGAAATTTTCCGGTCGCCTACTTCAAGCCTCTACCTATGTACGGGAGTTACATGCCATCACGGAGGCTGTCCGCAAATGGCGTCCCTATCTGCTTGGCCGACGCTTCACAATTCACACGGATCAGCGAAGTCTTCGCGAGCTCATGACTCAGGTCATTCAGACCCCGGAGCAGCAATATTATTTGTCAAAGCTCCTTGGGTACGACTACACTATAGCATATAAACCTGGTGCCTCAAACCAAGTGGCTGACGCATTATCCCGCGTAGAGCATTCAACTGCAACTTTGATGGTGCTTTCTGTTCCGCAATTTGAGTTTATTTCCAAGCTTAAAGGGACATATAACATTGACCTTGAGGTGCAAAAGCTTTTACAAGAATTGGAAAAAGACCCTTCTTCGCATCCTTTTATGCGCGCGGTGCAAGGGGTGCTTCTTTTCAAGGACAGGATTTTTATTCCAGCAGCCTCGCCCCTCAAACAAACCCTCTTACTTGAATTCCATGCTTCCCCATTAGCTGGGCATGTTGGTATCAGTAAGACGCTTGGCAGGCTTCGCGAGAATTTCTATTGGAAAGGCATGAAACATGATGTGGCAGCCTTTGTTAAATGCTGTTTGATTTGTCAACAGATGAAATCCTCACATCAAGCTCCGATTGGTCTCTTGCAACCAATTGAACCGCCAACTCAGGTGTGGGAGGACATCTCTCTGGACTTCATAACAGGGCTGCCTTCCTTCCAAAATTATACCGTAATTCTTGTGGTTGTAGACCGCTTCTCCAAGGCAGCCCATTTTGGTAAACTACCTACTCACTTTACTGCTTCTAAAGTTGCTGAGTTATTTGTTCAGATGGTCTGTAGCCTGCATGGTATGCCCAAGAGCATGATCTCCGACCGAGACCCTATCTTTCTCAGTCGTTTTTGGCAGGAGCTATTTAAACTCAACGGTACTAAGCTTCGAATGTCCATCGCTTACCATCCACAGAGTGATGGCCAAACTGAAGTGGTAAATAGAACACTGCAGCAGTACCTCCGGTCCTTTGTTCATGAACAGCCACGTTTATGGGGAAAGTTCCTTCATTGGGCCGAATGGTGCTATAACACCACCACCCACTCATCCACAGGCACGACACCCTTCCAGGTTGTTTATGGAAGAGAACCTCCAAACATTCCCACGTATATCCTTGGCAGTAGCTCCATTGATGCCGTTGATTTCGAACTAAGCGCTAGAGAGGCACTTTTACATCGTCTAAG